AGGGCAATGCAGATATGATTTCACAGAATCACGTTCTAGGAGGCGCAGGTGTGGATGGATGAAGAAACAGGCTAGAGGCAGAGAGTTGGGAAGGCAGGCGGAGGAGCTGACATGTCACTACAGGGCATTTTCCACAGGGTACTGGCTTGTTTCTCAGGCTTGCCGCCCCACAAAGCACTGTCTTAGTCTTTCACCCACTCCTTTCCCAGTATTTCTCTACAGTTTGCTTGGCTTTTCCCCGAGAGATCAGCGTTGATCAGAAGAAAATGTCTGCTTATCTTTCATCGATAGGCCACGACAGTGAAGTCAATCCAGCCCTTAGGTAATCGGTAATTCACAGGTTCACAAAATTTTATTTCCATATTAAATCAATTTGTCGGTCATCATGAGTCCATGAGTGTTGTGACCAAGTGTTCCCCAAGGCTGGGTTCCTGGTATGGAGTCATCTTTATTATTTGGGGTCTCGGACTGAATGATCATATCCCACAAAATTTGTATGCTGAAGCCTAATTCTCAGTGAGATTGTATGTAGGGTCGGGATCCTTATGTCAAGGTGTTTGGGCCCAAGGTACGATTTGTGCCCTTCACAGAAGAGATGTCAAAGAGATGGTATCTCACTCCACCATGTGAAAGAATAGCAAGAAATCATCTTTCTGCAAACCAGGAAAGGAATCCTCACCCCAAACAAATCATCCAATATCTTGATCCTAGATCTCCTCGCCTCCAAAACTTTGGGAAGTAGACATGGGCCACTTAGGCTACCAGGCTATGATATTGGTTGTAGCAGCTCAAGACGTAGAGAGCTGCTTACCCAAACTTGTCTGACAGTAAGGGTAAACATTTAATCCAAATAACTAAATTGCCCGTCCCCTGGAGGTTCTGATCCAAAGCAAGCCTCTTTTATGGTTAGACAAGCTTTGGAAATACTACACTAGGGCATTTGTTTTCAGAGTAGAATTTGAGGCATACTAGAGATATAATGATATCTTCATGTTTTAAAAACAAGCTCAGAGTTTATCATAATTCCTGAATTGTAGTAATTTTCTTTTTTTAGCCAAATGGGCTATGTGTTTCCAGCTGTACCCTACTTGCCAACTATTTTAGATGTGATGGTATGATTCAAAAAAGTGGAGTCACTCTTTGATAGGTCTGCAAACGCGAGTGACAATCAATGATCAAATGAAGCCAGATTGTAGTTTATAGTTAGTTGGGTCAACTGAAGAAGACATAGAATAAGAGCTAAAATAAAAGCAATTCCATGAAACCTAGAAACGTGACACCGAACTAAGGAAAATTTTAAGATTCTCAAAACTGTCAGTTTACCCAAATAACACTCGAGGATACGCTTTGCAGAACAATAACCTGCAAACAAGGAACTCAAATGGAGCCAAATGTGCAGTGCTTTGGGAAGACCACTGGTGGATTCCACCCTACACAAAGCCCCTGTTCTGCAGCAGGGGTTTTGTTTTGTTTTGTTTGTTTGTTTTTCCTGTAAGCTTCTCCTTTCTGACATTTCTCTATCATTTCTGAGGTTAGCAAAAGCTGATCATGAAACATCAAAATGGTATCCAAAGACGAGCATCACATATTAACCGCACACAGTAGGTTTGTGATGCAACTGACCTTTTACATAAAAATATTTTTCCAAAATGAGGAGAGAAAGAGCACAGCATAGGAACGATTTTCTCTAGTCTGGTCTTACAAATGAGAACTGATTCATTACAGCATCAACCAGCTCAGTAGAACTCCTCGATGCTCTTCCTGGTGCATAAATCATCAATGAGCAGGAGAAAGCTAGAGTGGAGCCGAAATTTACAACCACAGGACAGGACCCAAGCTGGGTTGATTCTCTTCCAAGTGACAAGCCCTGCCAAACGCCTAAACACCTGCTGCAGTTAACAGTACCCATATTCCCTTAGACAACCGAGAAACAACTCACTGGATAAACTCATAAGTAAAATGCAGTGCCAGCAGAGGCTGATAAAAATAAAACATTTAAATAAGTTCGGCTGCATTTTTCCAAATGGCACACTTGACAATATGCAGAGTGCACAGCAGAGGGGACCAATATGTGAGTTTTTTCTACAGGTCTGAAAAGCCAACCCCATCTCTAACCACACCCTCATCCCCTGTTCCCTGCGAATAATGTGACTTCCTGACCTGGGGTGAAGAAAAGCAAAATAACATAAAACAATAGCAAAAACAACAATAACAAACCTTAAAATTACTTGGTATAAGGGGCTTAGCATAGGAACACTAATTCCTTTATTTATTTGGGTGAAGATTGAAGCTTTTCTTCATTTACTTGTTAGGGTTATTTTTTTCCCCCTGTGCTTAACACCTGTATGAAACTTCCTGACTTAGGTAAGGCTGAGCTAATGAGGTGTGTCAACACAATTGGAAGCCCTTTCTAAATGAAAATTGCCCTGTGCTGAGAGTGCAATCCCTTCAGGTTGAAGAGAGCATTTATCAAGCAGCAGGGGTGGGAGCTAGCGCTTTCTCTTTGAGAAGGGGCCTGTCAGGTTACCACAGCTGGGGGAAAGAGAGGCTGACCTAGAGCTATGGACTAACGTGGTAATTCTCCTCCAAATTAGTCATGTTTCTCCAGGTTACTTTCGGAGATAGGGAGTAAAGGCAGATATAATCCCTTTCCTAATTGTAAACCAGCACCAGCCTAATTATATTTCCATTTACCCTAGATACTCTAAAATCACAGGCTTTCTGTTTGCTAATTCCTCTTATTCATGGTTTTATGACTCCAGAGGAGGCTTTGGGGAGTAGGAATTGAAAAACAGAGCAGTGAGTTAGTTCCACATAGACATTAACTATGAAAAAGAAACGACATGGAGAGAAGAAAGCGGGTGGAAAGAAAAAAAGCCTCATGCTTAGTTCAGGCCGATTTCAGCCAGGACTAGGGGAGCATCTCAGGCACAAGGGTCAAAGCCGTAGTTGAAAACATACACAGCAGGGCTATAGCCATCAAGACTACATTCCCTACCTAAACAGCCCCACTGCAACAAACCACTCCCTTTGTCCTAGGGGATGTGTAAGAGCCATGTCATTTTTAGGTTCTAGTAGGTGCTTTTATGCCAATTTACCGACATTGCCTAGGGAGAGGTCACACACAGAATGCTGGGTAATGCTCCGTATCATGGGGGCGTCAGGAGCAGATGAGTGAGACAAAGGGTGAAGACTGCAACAGCAGACAAATTCACTCACATCTTTTCACTGCATGTGAGTTCCATGTTCCTTTCACCCATCATTATGCTACATGTGTGCGGTTCTAGTCTGTATTCAAGGGAAGTAATTTGGAAGATAATATGACGGTATGATGGGAGAACACAGGGTGTGAGCATACGTGTGTGTGTGTGTGTGTGTGTGTGTGTGTATCAGAGAGAGAGAGAGTTCAAACAATGTATTTCTCGATTTAAAAGTGCCTACTCCTAAAGTAGGCTTAAAATGCTTTATTCCTCTATGGTTTTCACTGTAACTGAATAATGAAAATTCAACTTATTACCAAAAGCTCACACAACCCTTGTCCCTTAAGTTTTCCCAAGGGCATAATTGAAGGGTAGGGAAGGAGTTCCGGTACTAGTATCCTGGTGTCACCATCATGAAAGGCCTGGTGTTCTCGATCTCTAGCTGGGAAAGCATCCTTCCTGCACTCGCTCACCTGGCCACTCAGCTCCTGCTTACGAGGCAGAGGAGGAGCAAGGATTAAGAATGAACACACACCAGGTGAACAAGTACTCTGGCCAAGCAAGTTCAAGCCCTTCCTGGTAGCTTGGACACTTCGGGTGGAGTTGTCAGCCCACTGCAATGTGTGCCTGGGATTTGTCAAGGAATCTAATGGTCAGCTCTTCCAGATGAGGCCCACATCTTCAAAATCCAATACATTCTTACTTTATATCCTTGTAAGCAAGCTGAGAACAGATATGAGGCTTACTCTTTCTTTTTTTTAAACATATTTGTGGCACTAAAGATGAATCTAGCTACACCTTATCACTGAGCTACTTTCACCGCTGTTTGTTTGTTTGAGACAGGATAACAGATCTTTGTTTTTGTCTCTTGTTATTGTTGCTGTTGTTATTCTACACAGTGTAGTCCAGGCTGGCCTTGAATTTGCTATGTAGCCCATGTTGGCCTCAAACTCAAGATCCTCCTGCCTCAGCCTTGTGAGTGCTGAGTCATCTTGCCCAGTAACTTCACTCATTTTTGTACCACGCTTATAAACTGGAAGCTTCTTACACAGATTAGCTATTCAAGCAGCATCATTTGAATTGGTAATTGAGAGCAAATTAAATAATTTTCCGTGAAAATTATTGCTTTAAAGCAGACATGTTGTTTGTATTTTATTTTTCATTTCTACTGCTCCCTTATCTAGGTCAGGAAACACTGAAGAATTGAAAATAAATTTGAAGGTTGTTTGGTAAACATGGAATCAGACAACTGGAAATTGCCTGGCCTCGAGAGATGATATTTTCATCAAGCTATGAAGCCTGGTGACTCTTTCCTCTCCACTAAAGGGTTAACCCTGTATTTGTTTCCTCATTCAGTTGCCCTCTTGCTTTTGAAAGCTACGCTTCCCCTTGGTTTTTATTTTTATACATTAAAAAGTTACCATTTTTATTTATCCTGACGCTTCTCATTTTTATTTCATCTTCATCATTTTTTCCTTCCAATCCCTAGAAGATTCTCTCAATGAACTTACAGAATTTGATATGAAGCTCAGGGCATTTCTTTCCTCTCCTCCCCTGTTGACATTCTCAGGGTCTCCACTGTCTTACACAACTTGATACAAAAAAATCGCAGACTCAGGCAGTGGATTCAGTGCTATGTGGATCCAGGCAGTTTTCAGATGTGGTCCTTGCTCTCGTCCTCCAGTGCAAAGACCGCACACATGCGTCTGCCAGGGCCCTCCTTCTACAATGGCACTGTCAAGTGCACAGGTCTGAAGTGAGACTGCCCAGACTCAAACTTGCCCGGACATCCAACAGCCATGCAATCTTGATCCACCTCCTCAACTCCTTTGTGGCTGTTTCCTCATCTGTAAAGCAAGACTGTGGGTAAATTCTGCCTCATTAGGTTATAGAGAGAGTTGAATGCATGAACAAGGTTCAATTTCTTGGAATAATCTCTGGCAAACAGAAAAACAAATCCCAATAATTTGGCTATTATTATACAACACTGTCAATTGTTAAAACCTTTATATTGTTTTTTTTTCCAGTTTTCCATAACAACACAGATGTGTTGTGTATTATCATTTTGTGGACGGTCTTTGTCACTGCATTCTCTGTTAATCATGGATATGTCAATATATAATTACATTTATGCTCATCAATTTATTCAGTAATTCAATAGACAAATGTTTATCAATACCTACTCTGTGCCAAGGAACATTCCTGTTTTCATCATTGAGGCACCCTCCAGACTCAGTCACACACACACACACACACAAACACACACACACACACACACCTACCTCTCTTTACACTCAAATTTTCTTCCCTCAGAAAGAACGTTACTTTCAATCCCTCCAAACTCACTAATGATCTACAGAGTTTTGAAGAATCGCATCTGGATCTTAAGTACTATTATAGTTTATTCACACCAGAAAAACTATTCAGTATTTACACATGTGTGACTTATTTATTTCACTTAGGAGTATGTGTTTGTAAAGGGGGAGGGGAGAGGGGTGAAGGGAGGGCAGGGACAAGAGGAAAAAGTGAGAACCAAGACCTGTCATGTAAAGGTACAAGATCCCAATAATGAATGTAACTGTACCGTATACCTAAAATGTACCAATAAACTCAATGAGAAAAAAAAAAAAGAATCACATCTGTTTCAACAAAAGAACCACTAATTGTGAAAATAAGGCATAAATAGAGAGTAGAAAAGACATTCCTCAGCCAAAGCAGCCTTACTTCCTAGCGCCTCTGATAACACATCATAGCCAGGCCTGTGGATAAATGTGGCCTTGCCCAGGAAAGGATAAATGATGGATGATTTGGAAGAAATAAACGACAGGAGTGTTAAAATGTTTTAGGGCAAGGGACATTCAAATAAATGCTATTGGATGATTTATTTTCCAAAAGGTGCTGTATTCACTACTGAAACACACCTACATGCCTGCTAGAAATGCGGCTGTAAAAAATCTGTGTATAAAAAATGTACACTGCATCGAGCTGACCTTAACCTTTCATTTACTAAAGCCACCTCCTTAGCTTGGAGCACACATTTTGAACTTCCTCCTAGAATTCAACATCTAGATGTCCCACAACTACCTCAGGCAGAACATGAACAAAATTCAGCTTGTTACCTCCTCTGCCGATATTTAATATTTAAGATCTCAGTTAATGCACCATTTCAGCAGTTGCCAATGCTATCAACCTCAAAGTTTTCATTACTGTTCTTTTACCTTTGTTCACCTCTCCAGTCACTTTCAGTAGCAAACACAGCATAATTTTCTTCCTACTCATTTCAGGCTCTACCTTCCCCTCTTTGTTATCCATAGTAACACTTAGCTTTCTGATGCAGACATACACATGGTAAGGAGAGAGGAAAGCTTTACTTTGGCTCATGGTTTCACAGGCTTCAGTCCATAGTCACCTGGCTCCAAGACAGAAACATCATGGTGGAAGAAAGATGTTCAACTCATGGCATCCAGGAAGCAGAGGAACAGAGAAAGAGCCAGAGAGGAAAGGGCCAGGGAGCAGATATAGACCCATGGTCACATCTGAGATATATCCAGAACTGTGTTTATTACTCAATCTGATAGTCAAAATTAACCCTCACACTACCTGAATTCTGACTTCTGACTTCTATACTTCAAGGCTTTATTAACATGACTCAAGCACAATATCATAGCCCAGATATTCTTTTAAAAGGGTAAAGAACATGTGCTAACACTTTATTGAGGGGAAGAATAAAAGGAGAGAAAAAAAGTGAGGCAGAGAAAGGAAGGAAAGCAAACATAAGAAGATGTGTTATAGAACTAGCCATAGGATTGCAAGGAACACCAGGCAATGACTCGGTTCCAAAAAGCTTAGTGAAAGCACTTCTAGGAAAAATCCATGGGAGAGGTAGAACAAACAAATCTGCAGATCTTGTCTTCTGACTCTCATTGGTATAATAAAACCCTTGGAACTTCATTTTTCCCACACTTCCATCTTTATTACTATGTGCGCAGGTAGCCATTGGAGAATTTGAAAGATCTATGTATCCCCTCAAGACCTATAAACTGAACTTACCGTTCTCTATGCATTGCAGTAAGTGTGAGGAAGAGGATCCTGAAGCCCAATATAGAAACAACTGGAGGTAATATGTTCATATGGTGTGAACCATTGCTGGAAATGATCTGGATAAAAAGCAAAGCAATTGGGAAAATATCAGGTGGGAAGAAAAAGGGCCAAGGTGATATAGGAGACGCATAAAGTGAGTCGGACAGAATTTTCAGTCCTACTTGGCTCTGCTCGCATCCTACAACTATGCATGGTTGTTATTTGTGAGCAAGATGCTCTCAGTTCTTCTCAGAGTGGAGGCACAAATCCAGTCTTCCAAGATTGTACCATTGTAATGTTCCAAAATATATAAAGACTATTAGTGGCCCCAAAATGTTCTCAACTGCTTCAGCTGATCCTGGAGTCCTACAGACATTTATCACCTCTTTCTTTAACCATTCTAGGTTTTCCTCGTGCTTATCCAGAAATGCAGCCAATCTGGACTTCTGGCCCAAATCATCATTCTGGAAGGATCTGAGCTGTTACTTTCCTTGCCCTTTTTAAGATGATGGTTACCCTTGTCATTGACATTTATCATAGCACACAAAAGTACCAAGAGAAAATCCAGTGAATCCTCTCAGTGATAGACATGCTCCTTCCTGCCCCTGTGTAGAGTAGAAGCCCTAATCACTGAGAATAGTCAGAGTCAATGACCCAGGCCCCTCGAGAAACTCCTTTTCTACCTGCTGATCTGCTGACATGAATATCCCAAAGGAGTCAAGCAGAATTTACAGCTTTCAGCTCCAACCTGGAAGTGCCTATATTTTAGGTAAGAGGTAACTTAGAGAACAGTTAGAGAGAACTGGCCAATCTTGCTTCTTTCCTTTCATTCTTTATCTTGCATTATTCTTCCTATTGGGCATATAGCTCCATGCACACTAACTTCCTAGAAGCTGCCCTTGTGCAGGTGTCTTATCTAAGCCCTCAAACTGCAAGCCTACATAGCATCAAGCTATCTACATCCGAGTTATGAGAAACATATGGGAAGTCCATGGTTATGAGCCCAGTGTCAAACCTCCTGTACTAAACAATGGCTCTTTTGGCCCAAGGCAATGTTGTGTGGAATACCATCTCAATGGATAAGGCTCTCTATAAATTCTGGAATGTAATACTAATATGGACACTGAAGACAGGAAAAACAAACCCACTATAGTTTGTTTTTGTTTTTGTTTTCTCTATTGGAGCTATGACAAATATCTACAACTTGTTGACTTAAAAAACATAAATTGTCTTACAGTTCTGTCTATCAGAAATCCAACACAGATTTTACCGAGCCAGTGGCAAGGGGAAAAAAATCTCTTTCTTGATCCTTTCGGCTTTTAAGCTGCTTACATTCTCTTGCTGGCCCCCTTCCTCCATCTCCAACACTATCAATCTTGAGTTCTAGCCACATCAGTAACTCTTGGTTTCTCTCTTCAGTTTTCCTCTTCCACTTTTGAGGACGCTAGTAATTAACATTAGGCCCAACTTAAAAATGCAAAAATATTATATTTTAAGGTCAGTTGATTAGCACCTTTAATTCTATTTAAAAGTTTAATTCCAGTAGGATGTGGTGGTGCACTACTGTAATCCCAGCATGTGTGGCTGAAGCAGGAGGATCCACCTATATCCAGAATAATGCATTTGCTTAAATCACATGAAATTGTTATTTATGGAGGATAAAAATGATCAAATATTGACAAATTAATAGGCTTAATTCCAATTTTGGTTCTAACAAGAAAGAATTTCTGTACCTTCCAGGTGGAAGGTGCTCAGTGTTGTTGACTTGCTATCATGTGGCTGGTTGTTATCTCCAAAAAAATGCTGCTAATCCAGAATAAAATATTTGTCAATGCTGCAGACAAATTGTGGATTCCACGGTGTGAGGTGAGCAGCTACATTAGCCTCAGTAAGAACAATGCCTTACTGGCTTTTCTCTTTTTATTTCATGAAAAAAATAAAACATTTTCACAACCTAGTAATAAGAGAATAATAATAATTATTACACTTTGTATCATTAGCTTCGAAGTAGTTACTCAGTATAATTCATAAACCAAAAAGGTTCTTACAAAAAAAAAAAAGATAATGAAACAGATAATGACACAAACCTTCTTTTCAATGAACAAGATAAACTATTTGTATAAATGAAACAAATAAACAAATATATTGAAATATTTTTAAAACAAGGGAATATGTAATTAAGGCAGCATCATGACAGTCACCTCCAGCATTATGAAAACAGGTGATCCATGTGTCCAAATGTGAGAGTGGCTTGTGCTGTAGCGCACATCTATTAACAAAAGCCATTCTTGATTTTTTTTTTCTACCGAGGATTGAACTGAGGCCCTTGCGCTTGCAAGGCAGGCCACTGAACTGCTGAGCTAAATCCCTGGCCCCCAAACAAAAGCCATTCTTGCACTGTACTCATTTATAAGCTGAGAGTTTTTCAAATCACCCTGAGAGATAACTAACATATTCTGTCTTCCAAAGCCAAAAAGGACCACCAGGTACTGGGCCTCTTATTGATAGAGGGGCAAAGTGTAATTTTCTTAATGATATGAGCAAAAATTCTTTATTAAGGTCTTCTGACCATTTTCTAGATCACTGGGCTCCTAAAAATTTCACTGGTGTAACATGACCCTAACTTTTCTTGGGTCTATCTTTTCTACCCTTTGTCACACATATATAAAAATATCTAGACTTCTTACTGGCTAGGTCCAGTTGGTATAAAGTCACACACATAGATATGATGAGTGTGGCAGTGTGAAGAGTGGCAAGATTGTCCAGGTCCCTATATTATTACAGGAACCAGGAGAACTGTAGAACCCTCTGCCAAACATTGAAGAGTACATGTCAGCGATGATTTACAAAAAAACAAAACAAAACAAAACAATAGCCAAATTTAGAGTTGTGTACTGAGTAACAGAGGCTAGACTGACTTCTTGCAGAGCAGTCCACATGTAACACAGCCACTGTGACTGGGACTCCAGATTTACAGTGTTTCTGGTGTGTCATCAGCCATGACCCATCAGGAGCCAGGCAGGTCAAGTGAGCAGGGACAAAATGGAAGCCATCGTCTCCACACCCTACGAGTGTTGGATACAGGTACTGACTTTGGCGATCCCTTTTTGGATACATCATTGCTACCGATCCATGGTGGTGTCCCAGTAGTTGAAGGGATTCCATGTGACCCCTCCTCTCAGAATGGGCTTTTCTCCACAGGTCAGAGAAGCAGTTATGGGTTCCACCACCAGCTAAGAAGGTCTATCCCGAATACACCTTATGGGAGGGAGGAAATGATCACACATTGGATACATGACCCACAGACTCCACAAGTGAGTGAATCTTTGTCTGCGTCCTGTAGTCTTCCTTCTACTGAAGTGACTAGAGCCACTTCTTACAGAATGTTTGACATGTTTCATATGCCTCTAGTAAACAGGCAAGTGTATTTTGTGGAAGGTTCTAAGGAATGCTAACTGGATATGACTGAGATTATGCTGTGGATTCCTCTTCATGGGGATTCTGGCTCCCTTTTAATCAGTGAGATCTAGATCTAGGGGCTGAATTAGATTTGTAAACTGAATAAGAGGCCTCAAGGTTCCATTACAGAAACTACTATTTGTCAGCTCTATTTTTATTTCTATACACAAAACCTTCATCAGGTACCCCTAAATCTCACTCTTAGGAATACCATCACCTATTGCCACAGACTCCTTCAGGGAAAGGAACCCAGATTGTCACAATTGCTTTGCTATCTTTACTTCTAGTTCTGTGATTAAACCCATCCTATCTCTAATAGCTAAGTACTGACAATTGGCCTCTGAAATTATAGGATGTCACTATCCCCACAAATAATAATAAGCCTAGTTACGTAGCTTAGCCTATATTAACCAGGGCCTGCAGAAGACAACCACTAGTAAGCTTTTCAGAGATTTCTATCTTCCTCAACAGAAGAGTCCTTACTGCCTTAGTGAAAGAGTCCTCCTCCCTTTTACTTCCTGTGGCCAGGGACCATAGTCAAGTCATGGGTCTTACCTAACAAAACCACTTCAACATTACCACCTCCACAAGGATCGCCTTCCTCAATTAGATTGTGTTCTAAGATTAGGGCTTCAACATAAAAATTTGAAGGGGACACAGTTCATTTAGGAACAGAATTGCAATGACTTTGGATACATCTCATTTATTTTCAATACCTCATTCTTCTAAGAAAAACAATAATAACACTGACATAAAATCAACATTAATTGAAGATCAATATCACTAGTTGAGGGTAGAATCTAGGATTAAAAGATTGCCCAACAAAGTAGAATAGAGCCAGAGAGGAAGAGCTGACATATAGAAAGAATATGTGGTAAGTCCTCAGAGCTTTTCTTTAGACAGTTAAGGAAAAGAATAAAAGCTAGAGCAAGGAAGAATGAAAATGACAACCTATTTCATGATCCTTCTTGGCCTCGGTTTCCTCATCTGAAAAGTGCTTACCTCCTGCAGGTATGAGGAAAGTACCTTGAGTCATAAACCTGTAGCAGGAAATAAGTTAGCAATTGCAGTTTGAACTATTGATTGTAAGTATTGCTGACTTTATTACTTTTTCTTTCTGTATATCTCTTTCATTACACAAGTACCAAATTCAAATGTCCTATCTATATCCACAGATAGTCTGCTCCACTCCAAAATAATTTTATTTTTAAAAGATATAGTATTTCTAAGCCAGGTGTGGTGGCGCAGGCCTGTAATCCCAACACTTGGGAGGCTGAGGCAGGAGGATTGCTGTGAGTTCGAGACCAGCCTGGGCTACATAGTGAGTTCCAGGTCAGTCTCAACTACATAGTGAGACCCTGTCTCAAAAAAAACCAAAAAAAACAAACAAACAAAAAAAGAGATATAGTATTTCTTTGTAAACATTTTATTATTTTACTATTTTTATTATGCAAGATACAGAAACATTTAGGATCAAACTATTCTCAGAGGGTATTGAAAAAGCTTGGCATTCAATAATTGAAATTGTTGGAAAAATTGGATATGAGAACTCTCAATAAAGTCATTTGGATTTTTGAATGTTTAAATGAGGTAGTCTCATTACACAATAAATAAGGAGGCCACAATGGTTTTGCATAGTCATTAATAGCTATGATTATAACTTAATGGAAACTTCCATTTAAATATTACTAAGACCTTCAAATACACACACACACACACACACACACACACACACACAAAGAGAGTATAGGCGAGAGATTTTCCAGCCAGTTTTCCAATGGATCATAACTCAACACCTATTCTGCACTTGTGCTTTGGATTTCAAATCTATCACTATCAACTCCATCAAGCCCTCACTTTTCTTAATTATAACTACTATATATAGTACTGCTTTATGTTAGTTGCTATGAGAAATAGAAGTGAAAGGAAAGACCAAAATGATTCCATAAGAATCTCTTATAATCAAAGATGTTGAAAACATGGACGTGCATGTGTAATCACTATGTACAACCAATTAGAACATAGAAATACATTATGGTATATATTCAAGTGAGGAAGAAATAACATACCATGGGCCAGGTTTAAGGAGGACCAACAGGAGCATAATCAAAGAGTAGCAATAGAAAAGCACTTTCAGTGATGAGCAGCACTTTTTGAAAAAGGACACAGAGAAAAAAGAAGTCAAGACGGATTCTATTTGGATATATATGTGATGTTGTAGGGAAAGACAAAGTTATGTGTTTGAAATATATAAAAATGCTATTTCCATAGTTCAAAGCTATATGTTGAAACCAAACCACATAAGATCCCCAGTATCAAAATAAGTCTCTTTAACAATTGAAAGATCTTTGAAAGAAGAGGATAGCTGTGCTGTATTCTAAAGAAAATTCACTTGTTAATTATGAATTCAGTGTGGAAATAGGAAGGGAAGCTGGAAAGTCTTGTAACAACTAATCCCCAAACCTTCACTAGGTTTCAAGCCATTCAACACCCATCCCCTCTTCCCCACATCTACTTCCCAAGCCATGTACGTTCGTATTTATTTAATACTTTCACCAGTTTTTTTGACTCCACCTGCCACCCACAGGGTTCTTCCCACTCTGTCAGCCTGGACAAAGCCCACTTCATCAGACAGACCCAGTCAGTCCAGCTAAACTCGCAGGAATATCTACCGCGAGGCCAATCCACGTCATCCTAATGTTTGTTTGCATCTTATCTCTCCTCCTCCCTGCGCCTCCTCCTCTCCCTTTGGCAAAGCTCTTCTGAGGAGGACAGACATAATGCTTTTAATCTGTGTACTAGAGCCTGGGGACACCTGGTATACATCAGGTATTCAATAAATATTAGTTCAGAGAGTATCATTCCTATCAAAGCAACTCAGAAATAAATTATATATATAACAACATGTAATAGTAACCTTTTCCCTGACTCCTACTCAGCCTCCAATATCATATCAGGAGTGAGCCTATGGTCTGGGTTCTAGGAAATAGCCTCAATTTAAAACTGCTTAAAATGATCTCTAATTATTTAATCCCTATCATATTTGTTTTATAGAGCCTCATTTAACAAATCTTTTCAACTTTCCATAAGGCTTGTCAGGCATAATCTTGGGCAAATATAGGTGCTCAATAAATATTTTTATTGCTTTATTAGGTAAACGTTTCAGAAATTTAAATTACCAGTGAAACCCAGAGAAAACCTGAATAAAACCTCTAGCTTCACTTGTTTTATAACTTGCTTTTAGCATCAACTTCAGAGATCACCCAGCGAAGCAGTATACTCTGTTAGCTATGCTATAGATAACCCCTCTGAGGTATGGGTCCTGATGATAACAGCTACCTAAGTTGTCTTTCAGGAGCTTAGAAGTAGTTCAAACCTGTCTGAAACCACCACGCCTTCACTTGGACCTGGGCAAGCATCCGGTGGGTGAGCTTTTGATGTCAGAGGGTAAAATTGCATCTTCAAAGCACAGTACTGTCACCACTTCCTG